ATATACAATAATGTGTATTTAGCTGCATTATTTTTATAATTTTATTATTAAACAGCTAACATATCTACTAGAATGTTATATGTATTTATAGCGCACTAACTACAAAAATAACACCTTTAACAATCTAGATAATTTATTATTGTTATCAATCTAACATAGTTTTTATCTAGTTAATTATAATGTTAGACGTTAATTTTATATGTAACGTGCTACGTATATCAATAACATCTTTAGTCATATATATAACTTATTATTGTTATCAATCTAACATATTTTTTACCTAGTAAATTATAGTGTTAGACGTTAATATATATGTTAACGTGCTAAATGTATCAATAATATATTTAATTATCTATATAACTCATTATTGTTATCAATCTAACATTATATTTATCGTGTAAAACATAATGTTATATCTAAATTTATATGTTTATATATATGATATAATAACTGTTAATCTATAACAAAATATGTAACTTGTTAGTATTATATATATTGTTCATCTGACATAAATAATTTGTGTGGTTGTGATAAATGGAGAGATATCTCCCCTACCCTATAAAATTTTCGCAGTCAGCCTACAAGATGATATCATTTTTTGTCAAATTACATCGTTCAACTTGACAATAAATATCGGAGGTACAAAGATCTTTGCTGATGACCATAAACACAGTAACTTTAGTTTGCTGTGGGCTCTTGGTTATTCTTGTAAATTCGTCTCCCTTTTAGATTATTGAGCTAATTAACTCTTTTCATATTATTATTATTAATAAATAGAAATAAAATATAATCACAAATACAATTTGCCTATTATAATCATTATATTTTCCTTTTGATCTTCGTCTTTGCAAATATCTCGTAAAATTGTATCATAAACGTAGATAACATTAATACGACCAAAAAAAACGTAGATAACATTAAAATTCATACAAATATTGAAAAGATCTCAACTTTCCAAAAATCATATAAAATTGTATAATAACTATATATATATATATATATATATATATATATATAACCCTATCTAATTAGTATCGTTTTCCATACTCCCTTCTCGAATACACATTACATTGATTTGCGATCAAAACCCTAGACTAAGATCTTATTGCGTGTTTATCAAGTCCATCTGTAACCAAAACACAAACCATCTCGAATATGATTAGAGGAGAAAACTCAGATTCCATCCTGCATATTGATCTCATCATCGAGATATTCTCGAGATTGCCTGCAAAGTCAATTGCGAGGTTTCGTTGCTTGTCCAAGCAGTGGGGCTCCATCTTTCTCCGTCCATTTTTCACGGATTTGTTCCTTACCAGGTCCTCTGCTCGGCCTCCGCGTCTCTTATTCGCCGTCTAACTAGACGACAATAAGTGGTGTTTCTTCACGTCGACTCAGCCTCAGAATCCATATGATGACAAGTCGTCGTCTCTTGTAGTAATCGCCGACAGTCACATGAAGTTCCTTGGAGACAATACGTGGTTAGAGATTTGTGGTTCTGCCTCTGGTTTGATCTGTTTCCGTCGACGTAAAGCGATCTCAAAAGCGGATAAACTTCCTGTGATATGTAACCCTAGCACTGGACAGTACGCGAGCTTGCCTTTTCCTAAAAGAGGCATATATGGTGGGAGAATCTTTTTAGGGTTTGATCCAATTGACAAACAATTCAAGGTATTTTCCGTTCGCTATCCTAATGATAATTATGATGAAATTGGATTCCAGTATGAAATTCTAACACTAGGAACTGGAATCGTTTTGTGGAGGAAGATCCATTGTTCTTTAAATCACTTTCCTGGGCATTATTTGCCTAAAGGGATATGCATCAATGGCATTTTGTATTACTTAGCTGAACAAAAAGATGAAACTTGCTACATGATAGTTTGCTTTGATGTTAGATCTGAGAAATTCAAGTTTATATACAGAGATTTCTTTCGTTATGGGGATCATACTGAACTGATTAACTACAAGGGTATATTAGGCGTGATTACTTGGACGTGTAATGATTCTCCTCCTGGTGCAAGGCGTTCCCTTAAGTTGTGTTTGTCCGTTTTAAAGAATGTCGAGAAACCTGAATCGGAATGGTCGGAATATAGCTACACTTTTTGGGAGAATCAATTCCCTAAATACACTCTTTGTGTGTATTCAATCGTTGGAGTGACTGCTACAGGTGAAATTGTTTTCTCGACGCATGATGCATCTAAGCCGTTTTATGTTTTCTTCTTCAATCCCGAAAGGAGCAGTCTCCGAAGTGTTGAAATCCAAGGTTTTGGAGCTGCTAACCATGGCGCTTCTGAGAAACGTAGCAGAAGTGTTAGAGTCTTTGTAGACTATGTAGAGGATCTCAAGTTTATTACTATGAAGACGACATACAATTCTGCAACATCTATAAGCCCACCAGAACAGAAGCGTGAACCTAAGAGCACTTCATCTAAAGCTCACCTGCAACAAGAAGATGGTTATAGGTTTTTGAGAGCATTAACAAGTTTGATTCTCTGCGTCTTTTGGATGATGATGATTTACCTGATATTGCTTCCCTTTCTCCCTAAGTCGGCCAAAAGCTTCTTTAACATTTAAGTTTTAAATTAGTTTCTATTCAAGTTAGGGCCATGGCTGAAGTTGTCGTCATAATATATATTTATAGCACAGAGACTCTAGCTATTTTGGTTGTGAGTATGACTTGTTTTTTTTTTTTTATTTACCACATTTCTTTCTCATTTATAGGTTTCGTGTGAGTTTTATCATTTGGGTAGCTTAGGATAATTCGTTCTTTTCAGCATATCATGTCCTAATTGTGTGTGTTACACGTAACTGGGAGAGCAAACTAATGTTTTTATTCCACATAAATTGGGTTTTGGGATATATATATATATTTTTTAAGTGCTTTTGAGTTTATAAACAATGATAATAGAAGCTGGTGTATGTCTATGGATGGATTTCGAAACACATACATGGGTTTGGTGTATGGCTCACTCCATTGGAACAAGTAAAGTACGTGGTGGTTCTAGCAAAATTAAGTCCTTACTCTAAAATACTCTGGACTAATTGCAACAGTTGGAGAAACTGTACTTGTGACTGTTGCTGCAGGAGGGACAATTCACAGTTAAAAACCCTAAATTTATTTGTATGAATACCCGATTGTTTATGTCCTGTATATTGTTTAAAGTTTTTAACCATATCATGGTGTGTCCGTCCTCTTAATCTAACAAACATCATTGCTCTTAGGAAACACATTCTGTTTTCAAACTGTCTCTCTCGTTATGTCACTTATAAAGACTTCACAATCAGTGTGGTGGTGGCCTCCTCGTTTTCCGGTACTTGAATTGATTCTGTTTTAAGTAAACACTACGGAAACAAAATCAAATTGTTGAAGGCTGGTTTCTTTTTTGTGTAATGTATAGTTTAAGACGGAAACAAAATCTTGACAAGCTATTCTTTGTGTACATTCAGTTTTGTTCACCGAATTGATCTTTCACAAAGTATTCCAAACACCACATTATTATCTCACCTTTGGGATTGATCAGAATATAATAATGTTTCCCGATTTACGTGGACCAATACAAATTTGATGTTTTTTTGGTATGAAAAAACCTTGATGATCTTGAATCTTGATTCATGACAAAACAAAGAATCTATTGGTTATTCATGCAAGTTGTATTTTGCATCGTTCCTACATGTGAGCAGAATACGTCGAGACCATAAACAACAACATCCACAAAGGAAAAAAAAAATATCAGTTTGAGATTCCTGAAGACCAGTATTGGAGCTTTCTTCTAGATGAGAGGCAAGAAAACGTTTACTAGAAAGTTCTATTTTTTACTTTATGTTTACAATAAAGTCAGATTCTAAAGGTTCTTGTAATATAAATACTTTTCTCACACTCTTAATATAGAATATAAGGAATCGCTCTCCTCTCTTTCCTAAGGGTGATTGAAGAGGGATTCTTGAGAATTTTTTGCTTCTTTCTTTGTTCACTCTTTAAATCTTTTTTCTCTTTTGTTTTTATCTTTTGATCGATGTTTTTTAGTTTTTATCGGATTCCGACTTACATCGGATAATACTATTCCGGCTTTGACCAGATTTTTCTAGTTTTGATTTTAGTTTTTGGTTTCTATCCTTTTGCTAGATCAAAATGTTTCATGGAGTAGGATTGTTCACGATTGAAGATTTTACTCCTGATTTTAGTTGCAGCAAAAAGTTAAGCTTCTTTTCACGTATGTGGTGGTAAGGCCATGATCCGGTGACGATGTTGGTGTCTCTAATCCAACGATGGTATCATCCTCTTCTGGCTGGGAGTTTTATCTCTCTCAGTCCTCTTATGAAGAGCCTTTGTTAAGGTGGAGGCATTTGGTCTCGAGGTAATGATGATCGGAGTTGATTCTACGGAGGAGAGAAGCTTCATTGGTCAAATCGGGATCTAAGTTGATCTTACTGGTTAAATACTTTTTAATGAGTTCTTTGGGCTTTCAAAAAAAAAATACTTTTTCTCTCATCAGGCTCCATTAAAAAAAGTTTGTATTCGCGGCTAAATTCCTCGATTGATTATTGCTGATAATTAATACGAACGAGTTGCCGACAAAAAATTATCATCAGTGTTACGATATAAGAGATATAACCATAGTAAATTCGTTATCCATATATAGATCGATCTGTTTCATGACAATTCCGAGAAATCCAGAAGATTTTGACACTTTAAAAAGTTAAAGCAACAATTTTGATACTTTAAAAAGATAAACAAACAAAGATTTGGTTCCTTTGAAGGTACTTCCACTATCTGCCCATAGTAGTTGGCAATTATTATGAAAACAATTCATATACACTTCTTTCTCTCTTTTTGTCATTTTCCTTAAAAAGGAAAATATAAAATGTTACGTGTCCAGTATCAATACTACGTGTTTGTATGCAGTGAAACAACATTAATATCTAACAGACTTTTTTTCTCGAAAAAAAAAAAATTATATATATATAACAGACTTTTAGTTTCAATTTTACAGATTTTTAGTTTCAATTTATAGAATTTTAGTTTCATTTAATAGTCAGAGAAAAAACATAAAAATCACACACCAAAGTCACCAACCACTCTTCATTCTCTTCTTTCACCTTCCAATGGAATCTGAAATTGCTTCAGAGCATCTTCCCTTCATCAGAATCTACAAAGACGGTCGCGTCGAGCGACTTTCCGGCACCGAAATCATCCCACCGTCTCTAGACGCCGCAACAAACGACGTCGTTTCAAAGGACGTCGTATACTCACCGGAGCATAACCTCTCTGTTCGTATCTTCCTCCCTCATAAATCCACCGCCGGCGAAAACAAAAAAAAACTCCCGTTACTCATCTACATCCACGGCGGAGCTTGGATTATCGAGTCACCATTCTCTCCCATTTACCACAATTTCCTCACGGAGATCGTCAAATCCGGTAACTTCCTCGCCGTATCGGTTCAGTACCGCCGTGCGCCGGAAAATCCGATCCCAGCGGCGTATGATGATTCATGGTCGGCGGTTAAGTGGGTTTTCTCTCATTCCGATGGATCTGGTCCTGAAGATTGGGTTAACGAATTCGCCGATTTCGGAAAAGTTTTCATTGCCGGAGATAGCGCCGGCGGAAACATGTCGCATCACATGGCGATTAGAGCCGGTAAGGAGAAGCTCGAGCCGAGAATCAAAGGAATCGCGATTGTGCATCCAGCTTTCTGGGGAAGAGATCCGGTGGATGAGAAAGATGTGCAAGACAGAGAGATGAGAAACGGAATCGCTGAAGTTTGGGAGAAAATCGCGAGCCCGAATAGTGTTGATGGTACGGACGACCCGCTTTTTAACGTGGTCGGATCCGGGTCGGATTTTTCGGAATTGGCGTGTGAGAAGGTGTTGGTTGCTGTGGCCGGGAAAGATGTGTTTGTGAGGCAAGGGTTGGGTTACGCGGCGAAGCTGGAGAAGAGTGGGTGGGTAGGTGATGTGGAGGTTGTTGTGGAAGAAGATGAAGGACATGTGTTTCATCTCCAAAACCCTAATTCTAAGAATGCTGAGAAGTTCTTGAAGAAACTCGTCGGGTTTATTATCGGTTAATTAATTATTAATGTAACGAGTGATTTGTGTGAATGTAGTTTGGTGTGATTAAGTATGTTAAAACTTAAAATCATTATTATGATGAATAAAATTTGCAGTTGAGTTCAGTTATGTCATTCTGTTTTCAAGAAATTAAAAATACTACAATGGATTTATTGAATTTCTGAGGAATTTGTTATGTTTTCTGTCGACTTTTGATTCCCAGTAAATTTCTTTTCTTTGTCGAGTATTATACTTTTTGCATGATTAATTCAATAACAATTAATCAGTGTAAAGAAAAAAAATATGAGTTTTTACACCGATATTTAAAATGAAACCAAACTCAAAGATATTATTTTTTTTAAAATGGTAGGACGACGAATTACTGTAAAAAGCTAGATCCGCCGCATCAAACACCTCTCTTATAGTCTTATTATAGACAGACATACGACACTGGTCTAATTTTAATTTAGATGTCCGTAGCAAAGATTTGGAAAAGGAATATATACTCGACCATCATAAAATATTTATTTTCGAATCAAAATATTATTACTTTTTGTTGTTCGAGAAAAAAAATCGTTATTTAATTCTCCAAATCTTTGATACGGATAAAATTCCATTACGTCATTATCGAAACTATTTTCATCACACACAACAGTCCCATTCTTCGCCGGCTAAATTCTTCCGGTAACAATGCTCCGAATATTCACTTGTTCCTCTGCTCTTCGTTCACCTTCTCCCTTCTTCCGCTTCCTTCGCCAGTTCCCTCGCTCTTACTCATCGCCGACCAGCGTTACCATCTCCGGCCGAAACCTTCGCCGGAAACCCACTCAAACCACTCTCCGTTTAATCTGTTCACACTCTTCATCTGATCTCGTCTCCGAGCATCCTCCGTTCGTCAAGATCTACAAAGACGGTCGAATCGAGCGACTTTCCGGCACCGAGACCGTCCCTGCATCTCTAAACCCACAAAACGGCGTCGTTTCCAAGGACGTCGTATACTCACCGGAGCTTAACCTCTCCGTTCGTCTCTTTCTCCCCCAAAAAGCCACCGAACTCGCCGCTGGCGATAAAATCCCTCTTCTTATCTACATCCACGGCGGAGCTTGGATCATCGGGTCCCCTTTCTCTCCCACTTACCACAATTTCCTCACGGAGGTTGTCAAATCGGCGAATTGCTTGGCGGTGTCGATTCAGTACCGCCGTGCACCGGAGGATCCGATTCCGGCGGCGTATGAGGATTCATGGTCGGCGATTCAGTGGGTTTTCTCCCATTCGCATGGATCTGGTCCTGTGGATTGGATTAATGAAGTCGCCGATTTCGACAGAGTTTTTCTCGCCGGAGACAGCGCCGGAGCCAATATGTCGCATCACATGGCCATTAGAGCAGGGAAGGAGAAGCTTAACCCTAGAATCAAAGGGACTGCGATTGTGCATCCAGCTTTTTGGGGAAAAGATCCCGTCGATGAGCACGATGTGCAAGACAGAGAAGCCAGGAGACGAATTGCGGAGGTTTGGGAAAAACTGGCGAGCCCGAATAGCGTCGATGGTGTGGATGACCCGTTGTTTAATGTAATCGGATCCGGGTCGGATTTTTCGGAGATGGGATGTGAGAAGGTTTTGGTTGCGGTGGCCGGGAAAGATGTGTTTGTAAGGCAAGGATTGGGTTATGCGGCGAAGCTGATGAAGAGTGGGTGGAAAGGAGATGTGGAGGTGATGGAGGAAGAAGATGAAGATCATTGCTTTCATCTCTTAAACCCAGATTCTGAAAATGCTCCCAAATTCATGAAGAAATTTGTGGAGTTTATTGCCAGTTAAAGAATATCTTAAACTGTGAGTATAATTAAGAATAAATTTGTTGTTTGCTTCATCTTCTGAACACACACAATTACAGAAATGCTAACAAAAGCTAAAGAGTTTGATGAACAAGGAGCCTTAGGGACCAAGAAATTCTTGTATGGACTCATAGACTAAGTTTTGTTACAAACCTGTATTATGATTAACTAGGCATTCTATAAGCTGAAATCAAGTTCTGAAGTTCCCATATGCAAAGGCGAGACACCGGGACGACTTAGTTCAAGACCCAACAAAGTCCATTTTGTTCCATCTTATAAGATGTAATTTCATGTCAAAGTTATTTCACCTAATTAAATTCATTTCCCTTTAACAAATGAAAACAGTAGGATTAACTAGTTGGTTAGTATATACCCTATATTGAATTATTCTGAATATGAGGCTTGTGGTCTTTTAATTCCCAATAGCAGAATCAGTGACACAATTTCGTTTCGAATAAGTTTCTGCATAGACATATATATGATACCTAACAAAGAATGCATATCTATGTTACCTAATATGTACATAAATTGGCGTCGAACAATAATAATTGGTTAATAGCGTTCAACCACAGTAGATGTTTTTATTGATCTACGTCCAAATCCTGTATATGATGGATATCTAGACGAGGTCCAAACCATGTTATTTAATTCTCATTTGGAGAGCAGACATCTTCCAACGACCAACGTGAATGGAACCTATATGACTTCATAGATCTTATCAGTAACCAAAGGGTACTTTAATCACTAGGCGAACTAATTCGAGATCAAATTTAGTAGGACAAGGGCCGATGGTCTTAATATTATCATTATTTAGTTGTAAAGTACTTCCTCATTCTCATGATTTAAAATGTTTAAGAACTTTTAATTTGTTGAATTATGCGATTTTTTTTTTATTGACTGAACTATATTTTTAACTATTAGTTAAATGCTGTTTTGTTTTAAACAAACTAATTTCTTAATCTCTGCATTTTTATTCATGTGCACTTTTGGTTTTTTGCTATTAAACTTTTAGTCATAACGAGAAAAGCTCATCCTAATCCATGTGAATTTTCTTTGTTTTTGTTTTTAATTATAGTTTTGTGGGCATGTATGCACGGGTGCATGTATATATTTACCTACTAAAAGATTGAGTTTTTTGGTGTTTGTCTGGATACATGAACTGCATTATGGTTGTACACACAATCGTATCCAATGCTATTGATATCCAAATATGGAAAAACAATCCAAGTTAAGTAACTCTTGTTTTTTATCTCCAACAAAAAAATGTAACTTTTGGTTATATTAAAAAAGCGTAAACTATATGATTTGTTAGCATAAATAACCCAATAACTTATGAACAAACGCCATTTCATGTCAAATCTGTGTCTAGCTCAAAAAAGAAAGAGAGAGAAGCTATTTATGTCCTCTGACTGTAAATCAAATTCTAAATTACATATTTTATGAATTCAATTAAAAGATCAGCTACCACTTATATACAACTTTCTTTTAACGTTACACTTTCCAACCAATTTTGTGCCTATCTAAAAAAATATGTAGAGTTTAATCAACACACGATATATTGATAATGGTAACTCTGTCATCATGATACGTGTTATATCATACGGAGGGACCGTTTTTATCTTTTTAAAAAGTGAAATGTCATAGTTTAATTGAATTAAACGATATATATAAAACTAAAAACTCTTTTATAATAGTTCTGTTTCTTCACTCTCATTCCGAAAAAAAAATATGAACTCTGATCTTACCACAGACCATCTTCCGTTCATCAGAATCCACGAAAACGGCAGTGTAGAACGACTTAGCGGAAACGACATCGTTCCAGCTTCACTAAACCCACAAAACAACGTCGTTTCAAAAAGACGTCATATACTCACCGGATCATAACCTCACCGTTCGTCTCTTTCTCCCTCATAAATCCCCAAAACTCGCCGCCGGTAAAAAGCTACCACTGCTCATCTACTTCCACGGCGGAGCTTACATCGTGGAGTCTCCTTTTTCCCCTGTTTACCACAACTACCTCACGGAGGTTGTCAAAACCTCCAACTGCCTCGCCGCGTCGGTTCAGTACCGCCGTGCGCCGGAGAATCCGATTCCGGCGGCGTACGATGATTCGTGGTCAGCGATTCAGTGGATATTTTCTCACTCCAATGGATCCGGTGAAGAGGATTGGATCAACGAATTCGCCGATTTCGACAGAGTTTTCGTCGCCGGAGATAGCGCAGGAGCTAATATATCGCATCACATGGCGATCAGAGCCGGGAAGGAGAAGATTAAACCTAGAATCAAAGGAGTTGTTATGGTGCATCCGGTTTTTGGGGGAGAGATCCGATCGACGAGAAAGATGTGCAAGACGAAGGAATCAGGAGAGGAATTAAGGAGATCTGGGAAAAAATCGTGAGTCCGAATAGTGTTGATGGAGTGGATGATCCGTGGTTAAATGTTGTTGGATCCGGGTCGGATATATCCGGGTTGGGGTGTGAGAGGGTTTTGGTTGCGGTGGCTGGGAAAGATGTGTTTGGGCGGCAAGGATTGGCTTACGCGGCGAAGCTGGAGAAGAGTGGATGGGAAGGAGATTTGGAAGTGGTTGAAGAAGAAGGAGAAGGACATTGCTTTCATCTACGTAACCTTAATTGTGAAAATGCTTTGAAATTGATGAAGACATTTCGGGAGTTTATCATATACCGTTGAAAGAGAGTATTTAAATTTTTCTTTTTCTTGTTGCTCAAGTATGGAATAAGGAGAAACATCTGTATACATAATCCTTTAAAATAAACATTTCGATGCTTCCTTTCATGAAAATTTTCAGAAGGTACTACTAGATAATTCAATTCTATTTGAAAGAAGTGTTTTACACCTAAAGTATGGTATTGTTAATTAATGGTTGGCTTCGATACCGGAAGAGAATCAAGAGATATTGAATCGAGATCCGAAATACAAAATTACAACCTTGTTGTTCTTTTTTCTTTTATAACCAAGTGTTTCATACAAGAATCCAAACTAATTTATGGAAATAAATGATAAGGATCGTTCATATCATAATCGGCCAAATCCAAATGGAGAATTCTTCACCAGTCGAGAAAACTTGTTTATCCTCCTCTAATAAAACTTATCTAATTTAATTAAAAATTATCTAGTTTAAAAATTCTCTAATTTCCTTCATCTTTGATGACGTAAAAACCACCTGATAAATTTTTTTAAACCGTTTTTAATGCGTCTACACCAATTTGTATAGTTATGGAAGATAATCAACAGCGTCAAATTATTGATTACTTTTTTATTAATCCAAACAGTAAGGCACAACTCATATCTCTTTGATGGTAAGGTAACTCACTGGTAAGAACTCTTGTGGATCAAAGTCCGGAGTTTGGAAGACAAGTAAACTTGTGCGTGCAGGGTTATCATATAGTACATGGGAACATTTCATGCATTCCTATAAAAACCTACATATATTCCGATAATCCAGAGGATTAGACTTTTGATATTCTGATTAACAAGTAGACTTTATGCATAACTATCTTTAGTCAACCTCTCTTCTCGACCTCTCCCTAGAAACGAGTCATTCATCTTCTCTTGTTAATGAAAGTGCAGCATATATCATATACCAGTTCTGGCTCCCATCTAAAACTTAAGTTTACATATTAAGTTGAAAACACTAATCTTAAAAATTAATCTCCATATTGAGTTTAATTAATTTGGGTATGAGATTATGCTTTACCAAATAATTTGCATTTGCATTTCAGATTTTATTTTTCTGTCACACTAAAGGTATCCCTCCTTCTTTTCTATCAACTTCCAATCATTTACAAAACATAGAAAAAAACAGAGTTTACCAAGAACTACAAAGACAAAACAGAAAATCTCAACATTTCTCATCATAGCAATCAGTCGTACGTACCTAACGAGCTGGCTGAGACTACAACCGAATAGATTTAAAGTAAAACTTCTTCTGTAAATAATTTGTTTTGGTTGGAAAAATTGAAAGAAAAAAAAGTGATGGTCCAATTGAGACCATTATCGCAAAAACCAACGAAAATATAAAAGAGATTTCTTGTTACCCAAGCAAACCAAGTAAAATGTATAAAAAAGTGATGGTCCAATTGAGACCGGTTTATTGGGTCATAGTGGGCTCGGAAGGCACCGGCCCGTTATCCTTCCACTGCCAAGAACGGGAGGTGGACGCTGCTCTGTGAAACCAGTCTAACGCAGTCTCCTCCGCTCTAAGAAAGTCCGAACCCACAAGCCTTCGCTCGAGTCCGAACCATCAACTCTCAGCTTGGAACGGGCAGGCCGGTTGAAAGCCCAAATCGAACCCGGCACATTAAGATCGGTCCAACGTTCCATCACCTTATAGTCTCCACTCGGATCACAAGCCCGCGTTACCGAACTCGACGTACAGTAAGTGTCAACTAAACTTATATATACAACAAGAGAAAACTTGTTTCTTCCGATGTGGGACATTTTGTGAATATAGTTATGCGTCTTTACTAGAATTTTCGTTTCCATTCTCTATCGAGAAAAACCAAAAACCTTTGAATAAAACTCTTCGCCGTCGGGATTTAATTATTTTCAGTCTTTCACCGGTGAAAGATACTCCGGCGACCATGCTCCGATCGATAACTCGTTCCTCGTCACTTGGTTCGACCTCTCTTTTCTTTCGATTTTTCCGCCAGTTCCCTCGCTCCTACATTTCTCGGTCATCGTCAGCGACCGCCGGCGGCAACATTCGCCGGGTATCTACTCCAGAAGCTGCTGGAAGACAGCTATTTCTCCGCCGCGGCTTAAGGTTTCCCTCCGCCGCGAGTGGCAGTCTCAATGGGCAATTTTCTCGCTTATCCCTTCGCGCCTTCGCTACACAACCCGCACCTTCTTATACCGGTGGGATTATCGAACGATTTAGTTGGATTTTGAAACTGTGATTTCAATTGTTCCTATTTTTCGTCCGAGATAATATTTTTTTCAGTTAGATTCAAAGTGTTTATCGTCGGTGATGTTGCTGTATTCCACATAGATTCTCCTATAGAGAAATTTCCTTGGATTTTGGTTGAATTAACACCACATATGTGCTTGCTATATGTGATTAAGAGCATTTTCTTCTGTGCATTGTGGCAATTGTGAATGATAGATGTGAACCTTTTCTCCTTATATTAGATACATTGATGTTTTTGTTTAAACAGTGTCATAGTGTAGGCCGTTCTGATGAGTGGTTTTGTCTATCGTAAGAGTTAGGTCAAGATGAAGCTGAGAAGCTTGGATTTGAGAAAGCACGGGAGGAATTCATCTCAGAGTGTAAATCTAAGGCTGTTCTCTTCAGACACAAGAAAACGGGTTGCGAGGTGATGTCTGTTTCGAACGATGATGAGAACAAGGTCTTTGGCGTTGTTTTCAGGACTCCTCCGTAAGTGTAGTAGTAGTACACATGAATCTTCCCTGATTGTTTATCTTTAGTATCGGTGACTTGAAAGTTCGGTTCTGTTCTCCTGTTGATCTGGGTGTAAGAGCTTGGTATACACTTATACAGTTGCTTGGTTCTTGGAATTTCAACTAAACTTAAATGGTCAAATTGATTGCTAATCACCTCAGGTCGCAGTTTCTGTGTTTTAAAACCTCTTCTTTGTTGTTGCCCATGAAGTGTTCTGAGATTCTGAGGTCAAGTGGTGAATTTATAGTCGAATGAATGAAATTATAGCATATCAAGGTCAAAATTAGCTACTGTTCAATGGTTCTACACTTTTAGTTGGAATAGCCACCATGAGCTAGAGCTAAACTTGTGACACTCCAATTGAATTAATAGGCGCCGTAAGTGGTTGACCGTGATAAGACAATAGTTTGGTTCTTGATGCAGGAAGGATTCCACTGGCATTCCTCACATACTGGAACATAGCGTATTATGCGGGTCAAGAAAGTACCCACTGAAAGAGCCATTTGTCGAACTTTTAAAGGGAAGTTTGCATACTTTCTTAAATGCATTCACATATCCTGATAGGACTTGCTACCCAGTTGCTTCCACAAATACAAAGGTATATAACGTTTACTCTTTTCTTCCCTAACCATTACCTCTTTGCATTGTGCTATGTACACGTATTTTCAAGTTTGGTTTGATCACATTTCATAACTATCTATGCTAGGATTTCTACAATCTTGTCGATGTATACTTGGACGCTGTGTTCTTTCCCAAGTGTGTGGATGACGTTCACACTTTTCAGCAGGAGGGTTGGCACTATGAGCTTAACGATCCTTCAGAAGACATATCTTACAAAGGTTCTATTTGTTATAGATGGCTAATACAATGTTTTTTCACACATAGCATTTTAGCTTTCGGTTTGTTTGACCACTATATTATTAACTTTCTTTCCCTGTCTCTTTGTTAATGTTTCACATATCAGGCGTTGTTTTTAATGAGATGAAAGGTGTCTATTCACAGCCTGATAATATACTAGGGCGGATTACTCAACAGGCAAGTATTGCTCTTCAATTTTCTTGAACAATTTCTTCTAACAATCTCTTTCTGAGAGTGAATTTCTGTAAAGGGTTCGAGTGGATGTTTACTGTATGAATATTTTTGCTTTTGTTAAAAATTTTGATGTTTTCTAGCTTACCCGATCAAAGTGTGTGTTGTTGATATGTATCTTTGCATGTGCGAGTCTGCATTTAATATTTTGTTAGTTTCTTACACTGGTCATCACTTTGATGTGCAGTCAGAGAGTAAATCTAATTGAAGTTTCTCACAAAACGTCACTTCAATTATCTGCTCCTAGATTCTTTGTTATATAACCCGCTTTCATTGTTCTTTGGTTCAGTGGTTCTTATGGAATTGTGTACTTGTTTTCTCTTCTATTTTCTTTTGATAGGCCTTATGCCCAGAAAATACATACGGTGTTGATAGTGGAGGTGATCCAAAAGATATCCCGAAGCTTACGTTCAAGGAATTTAAGGTTTGTTAAGCACTTCATGTGATTTAATTAAGCATGGAATAATATGATAGTATACTGCAATAAAAGCGTAATGGTATGTATGACTTCCAACGCTCAAAATATTATACGTCATGGTGAAAATTCCAGGACTTCCACCGTCAGTATTATCACCCGAGCAACGCCAGAATATGGTTCTACGGAGATGATGATCCAGTTCACCGCCTCCGCGTCTTGAGTGGTAAAGAGCCATATCTTGTATTGTACTTTCAGTACGAAATTGTCCGTTTCTTGATTTATGTTCGACCTATGTTATTATTTTACAGATCTTATCTCTGTTTTGCTAACTTGTACAGAATACTTGGACATGTTTGATGCAAGTCAAGCACGAGAAAGTTCAAAGGTTATACCACAAAAGCTATTCTCTGTGCCTCGTAGGATTGTTGAAAAATATCCTGCTGGTGGAGACGGTGACCTTAAGAAGAAGCATATGGTGTGCCTTAACTGGCTGCTCTCTGACAAGCCACTGGACTTACAAACTCAACTCGCACTTGGGTTTTTGGATCATCTAATGCTTGGAACTCCTGCTTCACCGTTGAGAAAAATCATTTTGGAAAGCGGTTTAGGAGAAGCTCTTGTTAATAGTGGGGTGGAAGATGAACTTCTCCAGCCCCAATTCAGTGTTGGTTTGAAAGGTGTTTCCGATGATGATGTCCAAAAGGTTGAAGAATTGATCATGAATACTCTGAGAAAGTTAGCAGATGAGGGGTTCGACACCGATGCTGTTGAGGCATCTATGAATACCATTGAGTTTTCTCTGAGAGAAA